ACTACTACTGCTGAGTGACAGGGTCCCACAGCTGAACAAATCTGTTTGCGTTTATCGTCTCATTTGCTCTACTGAAACTAGGTATATCAGTCGTGTGACTAGCGTTTTGTTCAAAAGAGTGCAAGAACGCTATGCTGCATGGTTATGGTCGATACTAGTCACCCTACCTCTACAGTCTCTTCCTTTAAATTCGTCTACAAGGCAGAAAATAATCTGTCTAAATCAATAAGTTTCCGATTCACCTGTATTGCTGAAGCTTTGGTCATCGAATTAGACAGGCCAGATCTCTGTATACAGAAGAAATTTGTTCAATCTCTCCAACTCACGTGGATTAAGTATGATAATCTTCATTCATACGTTGGCGCTGTATTTGTTTTTCGTTTTGTTTATTTAATTTGTATATCTTTCTCTTATCATTTCGATTGTTATTATTATTATTATTATTAATTTCACTTTCAACAATTTCCGGTATTATCTCACTTGTCCTCATTTATTTATTTCAGTATTATTGTTTGCAATGTTTTCTTACCACCACCAGTTTGTTAAATGTTTTAACTGCTTACAAATCTCATTACTTCTACATTCCTCTGAGATTTTAATATTTGAATGATCGGAGGATTTCAGAATCAGTTGACATCAGTGTAGGAAAACCATCAGAAACCAGCTGGGTGTACTGGACAGCTGTTTCGTCAGCCCGGTTTGGGACTCTTCATCAGTACGCACCTACCGCGAGGGTTTGACCCCAGGACCTTCAGGTTACAAGGCAAGCAGGTAGACTATTAGGCCAATGGGACCCGATCCAACGGCTCATTCTATTCTAACTTCTGTCAAATCACTACATAATGCCAACATTTCGCAATGTCTTCTTGGCTGAGTAATTGTCATCACCTTCTACATGCTGTGCCCTGCTGGTCATGGATTGCCAGGTCACTGCCTGAATGGGACCAGTCGCTAGTGAGCATTAGACCAATTTTCAGGTGTTGGTTTGTAGGGATGTTGTGTTTGACTGGTTGGCGGATTTCATCATGAACTGACATCGATTAGAGAAGCATTGGAAAACCCATCAGGGAGTACTGGATGGCTGTTTCGTCCTAGCTCGGGTCCCAGCTGGCCTTGTAACCAAAAAGTGTTGATTTCTAACCCTCGTTGTGAATGCATACTGATGAAGAGTCCTAAACAAAGACGAAACGGCTGTCCAGTACTCTCAGTTCGTTTTCCAACGGTTCTACGATCCATGTCAGCTCATGATGAAATCCTCGAACCAGTGAAACAAGTTCCCTACAAACCAATACTTGGAAATTCATATATTTTATGAATTATTTCATGAAGTACATAGCTAATTATTTTTTGTCATAATTCACACTATTAATAAAACATCATATATGTAGGATTTTAGAGCATGTTAACGATTTCATTAAAAAGGGTCTGTTCGCTGACACACTTGTTTTAATTTTCTAAAATGAATAAATAACCCTTTGTGAATCAAGCGATTATTACTCAATAAAGGATAGACAATTTTCCGAACTACAAAACTTTCTACCTAATTTTTAGAAGATATTGGTAATTTTATCTACTTTCATTAGCATGCGATACCATTTTCTTAAATGGCGCTTCATTTAATTGTTAGTGAAATATCTACATTTCACTTCAAACAAAGTTTTACGTTGAAATATGATCAAGTTTTTTTTTACCGAGCGATGGAAGAGTCACATCTGTAAAAAGGCGTAATCATTGACCTGATTTAATTAGTACATTTAACTCTAGAATTCAAGTTAAATATTACAGCCTACCTCTTCCAGTTCTTTGTCATTGGGAGTTTCAACACCGTGAATCGGAAGTGTTGATACATTGTCTGTTGCGGATTTCTCGTCAAGATTTGTTCCTTTTGATGAATTTGTCATTGACTGTCTTGCTGAAGACGTGTTTGTATCAATTGGCTGGGTAACTTTATGCGATTCCGTGGATGCACTACCAGGAGATTCTAATTTTACTTTTGAAGAGGAATCAGGTGATTTTGCACTGGATATACTGGCGTTAACATCACTGGCTATCGATGAATGCCGTTTATTTCCATTGCCCGAGTCTTGTCCACTGTTTGAACAGTGTGATTGACCACTGCTACGTCGTCTTTCCATCATTGATTCAATCTCTTCATTGGCTTCAGCATCTTTTTCAGTTTCTTTAAAGAAACCGGGAAAAAATTGAAGAAGCTATATAAATTTCAGAAATGCAAAGAGATTGGTGAAAAATAAAAGAAGTTATGCAGGAGTTGACGGAATTTGTTTTTAGACTGGACATTCATCCTGAAATCTATAGCCGGTAATCAAGTGTTATATATCCAAGTCGGTCTTTATTTCTTCAGGGATCTGTGGTAAACAATAATGACGGTGTGTGTGTGTCAAACTATGCGCAAAAATATTCGACGCCATACGATAGACAACAGTCGGTAAGCAGCATCTACTCGAATGTTTATAGGTGGGCATACTTGTAACAACAGAAGACAAGGGCCGGCAACAGATCGTTTTATTACGGAAATCAACACGTATTTATATTTATTTTTCCTGTACATTATTATAGCTTATGCAAGTAGACAAACGCAGTCTTCTGATTAGTTGTTTTCGAGATTTCTCGGAAAGTGGAGCCATCTATCTGCGAATGATATTTACCCACGTTTAAGTGTGCTGTGATTGGTTGTTGAATCAGCTTTGTTCATATTTTCTCACGGCCAATATTAATGACCTAGACATTGACGTAGATTAATGTCTACCAACTGGCTAGCAGCCTGCTCTCACCACATACTTTCTTTTGGCATACATATGACGCTCGAATGTTTCTTTAGTTGAGACAGTGGTTACAAGAATGTCGCCATTCTGTGAACACATTATCCAATTAATTGACTAGGGTCAGTACAACAAACATACTGAGTATTTTTAGGCCTCAGGACATATTTGAACAAAGATTTAGGAAAACTTTATGAAGCATTGTTATTAAGTAAGATTTATGAAGCGAATTCGAACACAAATTTTCTCTCCCCCTCTCAGTTCACCGACTCAGAAATAAAAGACTAGTCATCAGTTGAAGTGAGCACCACTTATAAATTATGAAATTCCAACCTGTTTTATTATAACAGGGACTGTCAACCCAACTTTTCATAGGATGTGGATTAGTAGACTGCAGTGGGGAGTTTACATTTCTTTGTTACGTATCAGTTGAATAATATCACTAGCTTAATCACCCCGATCTCGGGCGTGTGGGGTCCCAGGTTCAGACCTCAGTCTATCTCCTCCAGTCTCGGCAAATGGAAAAAATTATCATCAGTCTTGACGCGATAATCGTATAGCTTAAAGCGTGCAACACGTAGCAGACCTGTCCTGAATGTAATGACATAACAGCATATGCCGAAGGGGAACTCAGTACGATATTATTATGTAGCAAAGTTACGATGATTTAAATTAGTCAATTCAATGCAAGTTAAACTCAAATATGTTGACAAATGACAGTATTGCATAGTCAGATTTAACTGTCTGATGTCGAATAGCGGTTGAAAAAAAAAACCAGTTTGCTTGTAGAGCCGAGTATATTTTTCGTTTGAAGCGTATCCTATCTCAAATGATTGCGGAAGAAAGGCGGTATTGGCTCTGTAATGAGTTCGATAATCGAATACCTAATCAATACTGGTCATTCAGTCTCCTCCTTCAAAGTAATCTCCTCTGCATCTCTAAAGCTCTAGCCATTTGGATAAAGAAACCGGAGTTAGGTAAACTAAAGAAAATTACTCAACTGCTTCTACTGTCACAGTAACAACCTTGCTGATTTCTATCGAAGTTGATTTCTGTTGGTTAGTTCCTTTTTTCCAACTCCTTATAGCTCTTGTATTTCCTCAGAACTCTTATTTATTCCCATATTTGTTCAATAAACTATTTATCCTCTTATAAATTGACTAATAATAGCATCTATGATTATGAATACTCATCACTTTTGTTACTACCCTGTTTCGTGGAAAACAGATTGTATATAAATGCGAGTGTACAGCTGGGGAGAAAAAAATGAGTTTGCCGAAAATAGTCTCTTCACTGAATTACTTCCTTTTGTTTTTTTCAATAATGTCTGGATGGGATTATTCATGAAAAAGTGGAAAATTGTATCACTTTCATACAAAATTTTAAAAGCACTCGATTGACATGAGGTACCAGTAGTTAGAAAAGTTTATCAGACGCACTAAAAATTTTATCTTTTCCGCCTTTCTTCTTTTTAACCAATCTTGTTTTAATTGTCACGTTAAATGAAATGTTATTGAAAACTGAATTCACACTAATAATAGTTTACGAGGTAATTATCATGATATAAAGGTAAAACAAATGCAAGAATTTACTTACCCAAAAATGTTTCACAAATGTATGCAGATATTTGATGCCTAGATTTATCAGCTTCGCCAAAACTGCTCAACTCTTTGTTTAGCAAACGTTTGAACTACAGAAAAATGAAGTGAAGATGCATAGCTTAAATCTTAGGCAACAGAATATATATTTGTATATATCGAGTTGCGAATTTATTAGTATTAGTAGTTATTACTATTATTACTTGTTGGCTGGGTCCCTTATGGAATACAGGGAAATCACTACTTCACTCGGTTTTCTTCCTTTTTGGTATTCAGTTGGCTCAATGGCTGCTCACAAGGTTGAATTTGCACTTCACATGGTCTCCGTCTCACTGTTACCCCTGCGTACTCGAGTCGTCACCTCCAGTGTACAGCCAACGTGCTTGATGTTGCGCCTTTTATCTCTTAAGTGCAGATTTAGGCAGGGATATAGAAAGTGTTTTCTTTTATAATTTCTGTTAAGCTTTATTTTCTCTAGCCACTTTCTGAACCGTATGAAACTGACTGAAATAAGGACTAGGAACTGAAGTGCATATGCATATGCATTAATATCGATTTCATTTGATAAGTGGCCTGCAGGAGGCTCTGTCATCGAGGTTAACTGATGTTTATCACGTTCCCTAATTAGTCATTTTATTAGCAATTTGATCACTCTTCATGTGTATTTGTTTGAGTAGACCATTTTGTCAAGCTGATGGCATAAAATTGAAGTTGCCTACACTCACAAGAAATGTTTTCATGCAGTGAAGCCTTTTTTTCGATCAGGTTAAGTTGCTTTTCAGATAATTATGTCCAATTTTTAATTCATGACCGTCATTCAAACTGAAAATGTGAATAGCATCCAGGTGTTCAGTAATTCTAGGACATCACATAAGCATGAAAGGTACAAAAAACTTCTGATATGTCTTGTGAGAAGTATCTGGGAAAGATAAAGCTTGAACGTAGGCAGTTATGTCAGTTAAATAGGTGATGTAATTGCAGCCTTTTGACACATTGAAATTAGCATTTTCATCTCACTAATCAGCCAATTCAGACTTCATGAAGACATGTTGTGGAATACTCCTTATTTCGGAAGTATGTAGGAAGAGTTTTTACAAACATAAACAGGAAGGTAAGATATAACAAGTCTACTTGAAAATGCAAAAAAACAAATAAGCTTGTTGGACATTGTTACTTTATTAGGAATCTTATTCTATAGAATAATTGACAAATCCATTGTTTGTGTTATTGTCATTAATCAATTTGGCTAAGTTAGACACGCATTAACTTATGAGTTACTTCAAGAATGGATGGTGAGAAAGGATTAGCAACAAAGAACTCTTACTGTCAACGAACTAACCGACAAATATGCTGAGGAAAATGCAGGTGGGTTGGACACACACTGATGAGACTGTTGAGTAACATCGTGCGACAGGCCATCGCTCGAGTGGAAAAAACGAGCTGTGTGACGTTTGGAGGAGGTAGTGTGAGGAGGAGGAGACGACAGCTCATGGGAAATCGTGAAGTTAGATAAAGACGACGGTAGAAAAGAAGAGAAAATGAAGGTGTGCTATTGAAGGCCTGAGTTCCACTCTGAATCTAAGAGGATAATAATAAATAATAATATTAGTTAATATATGAATACCTTCAACTGCCTTTGAGATGTGTTAAGTAGGCTTAGCGAGTAAAACCCAACAAATAGGCTGTGCACAGTTGATGAGAAGTCATTAAAATAAACGATGATGCTATTTTATTCTGCATAAACCGTTGCTGTTGCTCTATTCCAAAGACTGTATGGTGTTATATCTGTGACAAAATCATTATTAGCAAAAACTTTTTTCACTAATGAACAGAATTACAATGAAGATCAGTTGACCTCATTTAATCTGATTTGCAAATGAGCATTTATTCTGATAAGGAAGAGATATTATTTGAGCGCATTGGTATACCAGAAATGCTCTATCCCTCACGTGATTCAACAATGAAAACCAACACTTGAATACCAATGAGATGCTCACTGGCGACTGGGCCTATTCAGGTAGGCAGTTACCTGGGTTCCAGTGGGAAATCGTGACCAGTAGGGTGCAGCGGGTTGGGTGTGAGGACAAATACTCGCCGAAGACATTGGCTAGCGGTCGCGCTATGTCGTGAATTGGCAGAAGTTAGAATTCAAGGACCATTGGATCGGGTCCCAGTAGCTTAATGGTATACGAGCTTGCCTTGTAACCGGAAGGTCCTGGGTTGAACCCTGGCGGTGGGTGCGCACTGGTGAAGAGTCCCAAACTAGGACGAAACAGCTGTCCAGTACTCCAGTGTTGGTTTTCCAATGGTTCTCTAACTAATGTCAGCTCATGATGAAATCCTGAAACCAATCAAATCCCTAAAAACCAACACTTGAATAACAATGAAAATGATCAACTCTTTCCTTGTAAGTTAGAGAAACAAGTTCTTTTTAGCATCTCCCATTCCCTGAGAACTGTTTGACTCTATGCGCTACAAAATATGTGTAATGAAACTGTCCACTCTTGTTTGAAAAAACAAAAAAGAAAACTGTTTCGCAGAGTTCAAAAATTTCGAAATTGCTAAGCGATAACCACAACAGAAAGACTGTCGATTCATCAGAGTTTAAGATTCCTTAGAAATTTGTTTGATTTAGAATTTAATTTGTTCGGATAGTGACTAGCAGTGAAATCCAGGATAAAGCGCATTTCGTCCTATTTGGGACTCGTGGTCAGCTGGATGTACCTGCATTTCCAGTGAGTGATGATGTTTCCACCGAGGCTCGAACCCAGTGCCCATAGTTTCAAACGCCAAAGCGTTATCCACTAGACCACTTGGGCCACGAGAGCTGGCCACCTCTTGTGCAACGGGTCAATCAGTCAACGGGAAAATCTAAAATTCAATTAAGTTTGTTTGATTTAATTAATTGCTTCAGAACATAACTTTTGTAATGTTATTGTTTCGAAAGAGGCGGCAAAGTTTCAATTATCATTATTATTAATATTTTAATGACGACAATGGATAACTCACTTTTGAAAATGCCATATCTGAAACGGGTCGCTTTGTTTGAATATTTTCCAGTTGTTTCAAGCACCATTCCAATTCTTCAAGTGTTTCATTAGCGATTGCTTTATATTCAGCGCCTTAAATAATGTGAACAAGCATATAAATGAAAAGGCGTCACAGGATAGAGGGGAAAGGAGTATTCAAGCATACTGTGAACACAATCAAAACGGAATTAGGTTTTGGTTATTCACAAACAAATTAATTCCCCAACGTATCGTATAATAAGTAAACTAGAAAATAGTCCTTTACACAACCTTATCAAAACAGAACATTATCATTTCATTGCCGGAATATATGGATGATACCGTCATTCTTTGTGAAAATGATTTAGACAATAACGGGATAATATTCCAGTTCAATGAAGTACATTCAGCCCTTAAATTTACGCTTAAGGAAATATCCTAAAGTTTAAAATTGTCTCATTAAATGCTCAACCGACAAGAAAACCAGACGGTAGGCGGAATTAAAGAGAATTCACATAAGAAACGTTCTTGGACAGGTCAGTTTTGTCACTCTCCAGTATGAAACAAAATTTGGTAAAGACCGTCAGTCGTAGGGTTAAGGCTGCTTGTCCAGAAGATACGACTGAGAACGAAACGGAGGTTGTATAAACACGTTAACAGAAAACAGCTACTCTGAATGACTCAGTCTAATAAACACATGGTCGAGAGAGTAGAGAAGAAGTCTTTTGTATCTGTTAAAAAGAAGCCTCTTTATATACACGACTACAGTTCAAAGGTTCTATATATCCAAGTGAAATTATTGCCAACAAATTGAGAAATTCTATTCAAAGAACGCTTAATGCTGGATAGCTGCAGCGTTGTGATTTCGAAACTAAAAGATGGATGAAGTACCTAGGATGGCTACCTCTTCTTGTATGTGTCAATTCACCGGATTTTTTCGAGCCAGTAATATCAGCCATTGATCTAAGAACCTAATTTTTCTTTCTCTATCATTTATCGTGTATCGATTGAATTAATGAAGGCCTCTTCTAGATACCGAACACTCCAAATGAGAGAGGACAATGTAAACGAAGTAGGTTCAGTCAGCTGGACTTCTGTCAAAATTATATATCCAGGAATTCTTTGTGTTACTCCCCTTAATTTATCTGATCTAATTTTCAATCTGCTTAGGGTTACATTAATGCATATTATATCTCTGAAGATATTATATAGCTGGAGGCAGTCAGCAGGAAGCCTTGTCCCTAGGTTTCGTGCTAGTTGGCACTTGTCAGTAAGGAACTCATGTCGCTTCTGAGATTCAAACCCATGTCAATCATATTATCAATCTCTTCTACTCATGCTTTAGTGAACACTGAACTAGACTCGTCGATACTACTGACTGATTCAATGCAATGTAAAATAGCATTAATGTTGCTAATGAAATTACTTCTTGAATTAACATTGTCATATATAAATGAGGAACCTGATAACGTGGAAGTTATCGAAATGAAAATCCTTTGTTCAGTCTACCAAATTTTGTGATAGGCTTCTTCAGTCACTTTTAGAAAGACTCAATAAAAAAATAAATCATTCTGAAAAGTTGCAACAAAAAAGCAGCGGAAACTGGTTGCGTAATTATGTGTCACTACTGACCAACTGGATGAATGACGGACAAGCATAAGAGAAAAGTGAGACGGTGTAGCCTGATTACTATAACTTAGTCGAATAAATTCGACTTTACTTTCCAGATAGATATATCAGACACCATACAAGATAACTTCATTCCCTTACTTAGGTTCACTATTATCTGTCATTAAAAACTTTGGGGATAACTGTCCAACAGACTTAGAATATTCGATGGTTGGAGGAAATCAGTAGGAAGCCTTTTAGCTATGTCCACTGCTTCCTGCCGATTACCACCAACCATCTAATAAGGACACTTCAAAGTGCACCATGATCTTGAGTCATCTTTTATGGTGGCTGTATTGTGAACTTCACTGATAGAGTTCAGTCTGCACTATCCCAAAGACTAGTCACCTGACATTGGTTACTATCTAGTGTCTAATCAATACAGACTAAGAATAATCACGGAGTTCCATAGAATCAACAAGGTATCAGTGCTTTGTCTGATATTATCTTGTAAATCACGCGAACTCTAGGTATGAGCAGATCGTTAGGTATCAATGGAGATGACTTGGAGTCCTAAGAACCACCTTAGTAACAAAGATGAACAGCAGTGTTAATGCTGTATGTAGTTTCGTTTTCACATCAATTTTTTTTTCAAATATCTGCATGAATTCTTTCTCGTAAAGTTTATTTTGTGTAGTCCTTCAATCATGCTCTGTTAGGATACATCTTGACTGGTCCTCCAATCCTGAAACACTTGTATGCTCAAACTGTGATATTAATGTAATCAGTTGAATTTATGATAGATGTGTGCTGTTTCTCGATTTGTCGACTTCACTTTTTTCACATCCCATATTCTTGTAGAGACGAGATTTAGAATTCACGGATCATTGAATTCCCCCCCCACACCCGGATGGTTGCATCATCAGTGAGAGTGAACTCGTAACCTGAAGGCCAATGGTTCGATCTTTAGCGGTGTCGTCAGGTCACACTGGTGAGGATTTTTTTTAAATAGGACGAAAAAGCTATCCAGTGCTCCCTACTGTTTTCGGTGATACCTCAAAATGGTGAGTTGATTCGTGACAAATTGTAACAATCGAAAAAAGCGTATATCCTCACAAATCCAATAAGTGAAATATCAGCAATTCTGCTTCTTAAAGAGGCTATCTGACTTTAAAAACCCTCAATACACTCCGCCTATATATAAAGTTACACATTAGACACAACTTCAGCTCTTGACACTGCTACAGAAAAGCGGATTTCTCGCGATTTTCAATTCTAGCAGTCAACATCTTTAGTGATTTTTCGAGGGCCTTTTTCTTCCAGCTTAGCCCGTTTCTCCTTATCCCCAAGCTAATTGGGACTTCCTCAATCTACTGCACTTGGCATGGATAGTCCAGATAGTCCACAGATATGTTGTGTCACCTTAAACTATTTCAAAAAGGCTTACGCACACTTTCATCAATAGCCAACTTCACTAGCTCCATACTGAACATCCTCTAGTCAGTCAGAAAGATTAAGGAACAAAGAACTCTAACTGTCAACTAACCAACCATTGATCTGTCGTCCAACGAACAAATATGCTGGGGAAAATAGAGGCTGCTCGACTGTTGAGTGAAATTGCGGACCACTTCATCGACTAGAAGCCGAATGGAAGACGGCGAGTTGCGTGTAGCTGGCGAAGATCGTGTCACAAGGAGATGTAAGTAAGCCTAAGTGGGCCATGGAGCCATCTAAGGGCTGCTGTAAAGAACGGCATGACATGGATGGGTTCTGTTGAAGCCTTGTGTTCGAGTGGCAATCAAAGGGAGTAGTAATAACAATAAATAGTTCCTGGTTCTTTACCATGCAATCAGTTATCGAGACAGAAACTATAAAAGGACATACAGAATACTAAGAGTAAGTAGCTACACTCCGTTGGTTAGGCTAAGCAGCGATGATTTAGACAGTTTACATCTAACAAAATTTCTCACCAACGTTATAGGGGGGCATTCTGTTATAAAATGCAAGATGGAAGAACACAGATATAAAAAAAAAACAACTGGAAAATCATTTACAGTATAAACACGCAACCAAAAGCGGTCAATATATATTACAGGAAAGTAGCTCTTAATACAGCACTGGAGCATGAACGCCTTTGAAGCTTTAAAGGAGATTGATTATCTTTTGGAAAGTAGTCACTGGAGGACATACACTACTACTACTACTTAACAAAATGCTTCATGAGATGTAATCAGTAGAACCATCTTACTATTGTTGCCATTTATCTTTGTTGTCACAATAGATAAAGAAGAAGAAAGGATATTGATAGTCCTGTCAAAATACCACAATCAACACAAAACAACAGCAGCTTTTGAAAGCAACTAAATACCAAATAACGTTTTCAGCATCACCATATATATATGTATATTGGCGTTTGTCCACTTACGGATACCTAATTATGCATAGATATATTAAATACCATTTGAAATGACATAAGATGTATGTGTATAAGAGAGAGGTTCTCTCCCCCGTCACCTTTCTCCCCTCCCCCTTCCTTTGTCTCTAACATCTCCTTTTATTTTCATAATAAGTCTTGGTGATTAGATGTTAAAATTCTGGAGAAAGGAAGTATGTATCTATGTGTTTCTTAACTCGCAACGTTAGTTGCATTTTGATTGCTTAAAAGTCGTTAACATCAGAACATGACATTTTCGCTAGGCTACGACTTTTCATAAGAATTCCACATCGATCTAAGCAGATAATCACAATGATGTTAAACGATGATAATAATAGTAATAACCATAGATGACATTTTCTGCTTTTATGGGATATATATATATATATAAGTTATGTGCACATATTACCGACATACTAGAGTTTTGTGTGAAATGTAGTAGTTACACTGGGTTGTTTTTTCTCTACATTTTTGAACAGCTATTAAGTTGATTAATTGTCTTATAGTAAAAGTATTTATAAAACAACTCCGATTACGTTTTGGTGGAGTGAAGACAGCAAACATTTAGCCTATTAGATTTGGCGAATGTTTGACTGTAAGGCTGTAAGGCGCACTTAGAAAAAAAGACCAACTGAGAGGAAGTTGACTGTGGTCTTAGGTCTTAGATTAGAGGCAGTTGTCTAAAAGCCTTCCATCTTGGTCTTGTACCTGATGACTCCCATCAGCTAGGCGTATCTGCAGTCTTTAAGGAAATCATATCCATTTGGAGGCTCAGATCAGTGTCACCAAGTGCTGTGCAATCACAAACGTTATCACTGGTTGCGAATGATCTCGTGTAGGACTGTATTGGGTACACTCTGTCTGGTAATAACCAATGTTATGCGACTAGTCCTTCGATTTGGTGCATACTGAATTCTCTCAGCTGGACGGAATTTAGATTAGAGCATTACTGCATATATATATATATATATATATATGAGTAGGCATTCAAAACTAAGGCGATCTTATCATATAACGTACAGCTAACACTCTTTGTATCAGGCGTTCGGTTAGAATTCGACATTGTCCTCCT